TGGTTAAATCTTTTCTCATTTAGACTTAACGCGTGTAGCTCAGTCTTTGGCATTTATTGACCATTTGCCAGAGGAGTCCAAATTACCAGATTAGTGTCACAACAGCTCGTTTACTTTTGTTTTGTTGTTTGTTGTTTTCCTGAACCCGCAATCAATGGGCCTCTCCTGGAGATGAAGCAGGAGGAAGCTGGTTGGAGTCGATGGAAAATGAGAAGCACATAATTGTATTTTCTCCATTTCACACTGTGGCATTCAGACTGCAGTGAAAGCTCTTCCAGCCAGGCGACCAACTGTGTAATCTGTCACTGAACTTTAAGTGGCTGGCAGCACTGGCAGTACAGGTAAAGAGAAGGATGGACTCGGTACTATTTAAACCATCATCAAATTATAGGAAATCTAATTTCAAGGTACTTTGCAAGATGAACAGGTTCAATTCAAATCGATCCAATTCGTTCTAGCCAGGTTAAATAATCAAGTACACACAGTCTGGCATGATACTATTCAGTAGAGAGCTACAAAAGTCAGTTGATCCTGTAGTTTCAAATGGTAAGCTGCGCTAAATCTAAGGAAGACTGATTGATAGCTTTAAGTTATTGACCTTACTGCAATCTCTCATCTGAATGGAGAAAATCATCCCCCTCTTGACAGAAATAAACCCCCAGCAGTACCCGGCTCAGCGTGAGTACATCTAAGATTGTTGCATTTCTCCTAATTTAATTTGCATTGTAAACATTTTATGATCTTCCGAAAAAAGAAAACTGTCGATTTGTTATTGGCCACTCTTTATTTATTATCACAAGTGGCCAATCTAAGGAAAATATCCCAACTGTTTCATGCTGGATTTCTGAGCTTCTAAATAACAGAAAGCTACCATATTCACATTTAAATCAATTTCACCAATTGTGCCTAAAAAGAGTGGTAAGATAGACTACCAGAATTATTCCATAAGCCTGTTAATGGCTACAAGAAATGTGAAGTTTTCTCTGCAACATGCTATTAGACAACTGCATGCATATTTTGGATCCTGCGAGCGTAATTCTGAACATGTGGGAATTCCAGAAAATCAACAATAGATTAAGCTTTATGTTACTAAGTAGTTGCATAGCTCCTACTGATGTATCATTTTCTTTGTCTTTCTGTTGCACAGCCCCGTTTTGGTAATCATTAATACTATAAGTTTTCATGTTTCTTTCAACATAACATCATTTTGAGAACCAGAATTGCAGCCTCATTAAAACACATGTATTAATTAGCCAAATGGGACTTTTAATCTTGTTGAAGTAAGAAAGCAAGGCTTTTTACCCTTTACCTTTACAGCAAACTATCGTGCAAATGACCCCATGACAAGGTGCCAGTTTCAAGAGGAACAAACGGCTTTCACATTTCATAAAGTGGTCCTGTTTGAGTCGGTTATGTTGAAACATCCAAAACATGAAGGGGAGTGTTCCCCAAGGACCAAACATTGGTGTGTTTCATTGCTAACATGGTTTCAGAATGCAGGCCTGTCTTTGCAAAACCTGCCATGCAAGGGAAGTGCTAGTTGCAATCAAATTGGTTCACTCGAGTCGATGAAAACAGTTGAGCTCCACCAGAAAGTAACTGTTTTGGTTTGTTTCTGTAATATTTTTAATATTTTGCGAACAGCAATTAGCAGCGAGTAAAGGCTTTTATCAATACTATATATAATTTATTTCCCAGTACCTTACTGTATTGTATACTGGTTCACTCTACAACAGTAACTCTATTGTACCTTGACCTTTGTTTTAAGGTCAAGGAGTAGCCATGTAGTCACCCCTACAGTACAGATCTTTTAATTCAGAGTACCATGGACCTGAGCTAAACAAGTGGAGGCACCATTAAGGTTCACTGCTCGTTATGGTGCATTCACACCGTCTGGCGCTTCAAGTTCGACACGTGTGCACTTTTGGTGCGTTCACGCCAAACGCGTTTTGAGCGTCAGGCACGTCTGGTTTACATTCAAAGTCTATGTGGATGCGCTCCACACTTCTACGGCCCTCGATGCGCCTCCACATACACTTTGAATGTAAACCAGATGCGCCTGATGCTCAAAACGTGTTTGGTGTGAACGTGCCATTAGCTCTGGAACAAGCTCTCTAAAAACCTGAGATGTGTTTACTCCTTTAAATCAAGACAGGAAGCCTGTTTACCTAAAAGTAAAAGAGTGTGTTATTGGTTCAGTTTCATGCTGTTTTAACAACATATGTGTTTTTTGAAGTTTTACGACTTCATGCAATATTTGCTCAACAATTTCCAATATGGACTCAGAATATGTAAATTGTAAACTGATGGAGCGGGAGCTTTTAATTCAGAAATCTTCCTATTTTGTCTGAAGCTTGTGTTTGTATTGAACCAGCAATCAGAAAACATACTTCTGTTACATGATAGTTTACTGCTCTAAAGTAATGAGTTTTAAATGTTTTCTTCTCTGAAAAACACACCAGCAATAAATCTCAGGCTCTGAAAGGAGTGAAGGGATTATTTAAATCCACAAGGGGGCGTCCTGAACTGTCAAAGACTGAGGATGAAAGAGTATAATGTAGAAAATATGTGAAACAAGTTACACAGAGAAAATGTACATTTTAACACTATTTGTGGCTTATGATGGTATGAGCTCCATATTCAATATCTCACATATGACATCAAGTATTTCTTTTTACTCACTAGTTCTGTGTCAACTCCGTCATGCACTGTCAACTCCGTCAGATGGACTTTTTTTGTTGTTTTAAATAATATTTGTTTTCTTTCTTGAGAAGCATTTGTCTGTAAAACTGAGTAAAAATATCACTAGTAAGGTACTTTAAAAATAATTTTATATTTATTTTTGTCAGATGGTGATGAGAAAGTTCTGGGTCAGGTCGATTAAAAATTTTATTTTTTAAAAAAATGTTGCAACTGGGAGCCTGCACTTTAGCATCTTTACATTTCCTAAACATTATTTGTCATATTTGCATACATAAGGTTGGGAAATAATTGTAAAAAAAATGGGGAAAATTTAAACCCAATTTGTCCCTATTCTCAAGAATCACTGATATTTAACATTAACACAGCCTGCTGTGGTTTTCGGCTGGTAAACATCACGGTAGACGTTTTAGACGCGTAGCACCGACAGACAGAAGAACACCGGCTCTTTTTTTGTTGCTAAAACTGAGCCAAATGATTTGAATCTCAGAAAAGACAATTGAATTCCCACCGCTGAGTCGTACGGAGGTACAGAGAGCTTGAGTGGAAGGAGGGAGGAGAAATGAGAAAAATGGAGCCGAAAACAGACCAATGAGAAAACGCCCTGTTGGCCCTACAGGCATCCCGTCATGCTGTCGGACTGAGCGCTACGTCAGCAGTGAGACAGAAACATGGCGGTGTCCAACGCTCGAGTGTTCATATTAAGTTTTCTCGCAGGTTTAGTATTCCACCGCAGTCTCGCAAACGTTGCTGTAGAAGGTTCGAACCCGGAAGAGCCCCCTCACCGCCGTTTTGAGTACAAGTACAGCTTCAAAGGACCGCACCTGTCTCAGTCCGACGGCGGTATCCCGTTTTGGATTCACAGTGGAAGTAAGTTTGTATCCAGCTGTCAACATCACAGAACAAACTGATAAGGAAAATATTTCCTTAAGAGTGGACCCTAACAATGAGAGGATGACATCCGAGACTGTCTCGCTTGCAGCGGTTTCCGCTCGGGGTGTTCAAGGCGATGCTGCTTTGCTCTCAACCTGCACCAAAAAAAAATTAAAAAAAAAATGCTTAAATGAATCCTAGCACACCAGCTTCCAATCGACAACCCCGATGAATCGCTGGCACGCGTTTAATATTTGTCAAAAGACATGGCTGATGCCACAGCGTCTGCAGACAGGAAAAGCTGCTACTTTCCTTTCTTGTCTGGGAAAATAGCAGCACACCGAGTTGTCCAGATGCTGAAATGAACTGCAGGGGGATCACACTTCCTTTCCAGTAAGCCAGCTCTACTTAATGGTAAAAAATAAATAAATAAACGAATGTATTATAATTTTTTGTTTAAAACCTTACATTTACTATTTAGATTCTAAAGATTACAAGTCAGTTCTGTATAAAGGTAGATTTTTAAATAAGAATGCCTTTTTGATTCATCCTCTTAATCTTACATTATCTTTTCAATTGTAAAAAGAAATGTCCGTAACGTTTGCAAAGCACAAACTCAACACGAGTCCTAACTCCAAGGGTCAAGTCACAGTGACAAATGACACAAGCTTGTTTGCAAACAGAACTGCAGAAGATTCGCCCTCCAACATCAGCTAGACAGGTCAAAATTCAACTTTTAGATTGAAACACTTGTAATGCTGATGTATGTATGGAACAAGTTTTTAGATGTGACTTTACTGTACATAGATACTTTGCTGTATCAGTGTCCAAAGTTTTAAGGATAAGGGTGATATACTCCTTGAAGGGAACCTGGAGATATAGCCAGCATTGTTTGGGATCAGTTGAAGTTTATAAGGAGTTTGTGAAGTAAAAAAAAAAAAAAAAAATAGACAATTATGGGTATCACAATGGAAATGAATACAGTATTTTCTGAAAACAATGCCTTATGAATGAGAGTAGTTTAAGATTAGGAGGAACCCCAGATGTAAGCCTTGTGTTACACCACTGCTTGCGAAACTGTTACTTACAAAGCACATTATCTTCATTTCCACACTCACTTTCTCTTGTTGTGATTTCAGATGCTATTCCAAGTGCAGACCAGGTGCGCATTACCCCATCCCTCAAGAGTCAAAGGGGCTCCGTGTGGACAAAAAATAAAGTCAACTTTGAGAACTGGGAGGCTGAGGTGACCTTCAGAGTATCGGGAAGAGGCAGGATGGGAGCGGACGGTTTGGTGAGCAGTTTTAATTCTTTGCAGACAAGGCAGCCCAGTTTATCCCGTGGAAAGATTGTGGTGATTTTTTTTTATTGTTTATTTATTTTTTCCAGGTTGGAGAGCATCTTTTTCAGCGCAAAGTCCTAAACAATAATCTTAATTAATCAGAATTTCATTCAATAGATTAGCGAGTTACTGGAAGTGTAAAAAATAGTCATCTCAAATCAGACTTCCTCTTCCAGGCAGTGTAAATAAAAAAAATCTTGTGAACTTAAAAAGGGTCGTCATATCACTTCAGCAACAAAGATATTTTGCAAAGATATTTTTTGAAGAGCTCAGTTTCCAGAACTACAGAAAGCCTGAAGAGAAGAGAGTAGAAGTCGGAAACCAGGACAGAAAAAGAAGTAGAAAAAGAAGTGTATCCCTTTGGAATGTACTAGGCGGATGATGCAATTTTGCATTACCACCATAAGTGGCACCATAAATGTGCTCAAGTTAAATTTTGGAATTTCTTTTGTTTTTAAGTATGATTTTAAGCTACTGCATTGATATTGAAATGTTGTTCTTGGCTATCTTTACTTGCAAATGCTAAAAAGGGTGTGTGTATATGTGTGTGCTGTGGACACTTTCACTCATCGTTGCTCTTTAGCTAAATATATTTCTAAAAACCTCTGATTCATGAAGTCACCCAAGTGTCTCTAGAAGTGGGAGGTTCATACATTCATGACCTTTCCAAAATGCAGTAGCATCATGTTTTTTGTTTTTTTTTTCCCTCTGCGTTCCTTTGCTTTCTTACACAACACATCAGCGCATTTATGACACTGCCTAGCCCATTATGTGCTTTAAACTTGTGATGCTGGTTTTCAAAGGTGTGTCCTCCCCATAGAAACGGAATAACCATGGTGTTTAATTATTACACAAAACAACCTGAACACATAAATGACTTCTGACATTGTTCGACTGCACAACTCGCAGCTGATAGAGAAGCAAAGATGAACTTCTTTTTCCCAAAAGTCTTTTTTGAGAAAGAGTATTTTCACTAGCTAGCAGTAAGTTAGAAGGAAATGCTGAGACAAATACTTACATAGACTATTTTTACATTACAGTATGCAAAGTGTTTTCTCCTGTTCACCTGGAAGGTGAATAAATAGTTTATCCTGTTTCACCTAATCATCCTGTAGATGTCTCTACAGTCTAATTTGGGTCAAGCTGTGTCAAGTCAAATATAGTTGCACTAGAAATCATAACTTTATCTTTGTCCTGTTATTCATGTTGCAGTGAACTCGAATAAATGTTAACTTTTTAATTACCATGTGTCCAGGCTCACTTATAAGGTGGTCAAGTCATTACAGAAGTACAGTAAAGTTACTTTTAATGTAAAATGTCAGACATTGGCCAGAATCACCCGTTTCAATAAAACTTTAAGATAAAAATAATGCATTTGATTTTTTTTTTTCCAGTCATTAGACTGTTATTATTATCTGAGGTCTATGTTTACGAACTGAGACAGGATTTGGAAAAGCACAGACTTATCCATACAAGTTCCCACAGATGACATCAAGTCAAAGGACGTGTCTAAATAAAATGCTGCTGTTGTCAATTTGCCTTAAGCAAGATTAAATAACCGCAAATTTAATGTCTTGCTCTGTTTTCCTTCCAACAGGCAGTGTGGTTCACCAGCGAGCAAGGCCTCGACGGCCCAGTGTACGGTGCTGCTGACACGTGGAACGGAATCGGAGTCTTCTTTGACTCGTTTGACAACGATGGAAAGGTTCGTGTCATCTTTATGTTTCCAATAATAATTCACGATTAACATGTAAAACCAGAGGATTGTTTTTAGGTGGGATAAGTTTGATCAAACTGTGTCTGTAACAGAAGAGATACGTTATTTCTTATATATATATATTCATTAAATTTGGGGCTTTGTCAATTGAAAATGTAAAACTGCTCTGAAAAATAGTTTAAAAAAAAATTATTGTTAGTGAGCAGGTATAGTATATATGTTGTAAATAAGATTACCTACAAGCTAAGACACCTTTGCTCATCAGATCACAAAAGGATTAACATGTTTTCTCTGTTTTTGCTTCGCAATCCTAGAAAAATAACCCGGCCATCCTCGTCGTCGGGAACAATGGCAACCTTGTTTACGACCACCAAAAGTAAGTAAACATTTCTTCTCGCTTCCCTCGGGTGACATCACCAACTCAAATTTCAGCAACTTAAAGAAGATTAGAAAATATGATTATGTTTGCTTGAAAGTAAATAATCCTCTGTCTTTTCTAATCTGCCTTGGGCAAGTGAAAGCTTTAAATCACTTTTTCTGTGCCGTTCCAGTTTGTCTTGGAGTCAATAGTGTTTACGAAAACATTAACGTTAGTCACTTATCTTGTAAAGTTTGTATTGGATTGCTCCTAATCATAAAAAATATATATATATTTGTGTAGCATTTCTGTGTTTTGGTTTTAAATTGTTTAAATTTTGTTTTCGTTCAGCGACGGCACCACGCAGGCCCTTGGAACGTGTCTGAGAGACTTCCGAAACAAACCGTACCCGATCAGAGCCAAAATAACGTACTACAGGAAGACCCTGACGGTAGGAGAAGGAACAGGAATCAAACATTTTAAAGCAGTGAATGTCTGAATAATAAAGAGTATTTATTTTCTACCAAATTGCTTGATTTTTTTCTTTTTTATGTTCCTCCTTAGGTTTTGATCAACAATGGATTCACTCCAGACAAAGAGGACTATGAGTTCTGCACAAAGGTTGAAAACATGATTATTCCGACTGAAGGCTTCTTTGGCATCTCAGCCGCCACTGGTGGTTTAGCAGGTACCACTCTGATCCCTACCCTAAATACCTGTACAATACCTGTACTTTTTTTTTATTATTCAAATCAGATGCTCTGCATATATAAGAACCTTTGCTTTACCTTTCAATCTATCACACATCTGGTTTTCAGCAGTTTCTTTTCATTTCTGTGCTTTAAATTAAGAAGATTTCAGCTAATTTACAAAAAATGTTATAACATATATAAATTGTGATTTTCCTAATTATTTCTTTTTACTTCCGTCAGACGACCACGATGTTTTGTCATTCTTGTTATTCAGACTCACTGAACCAGGCCAACAACCGGTAATCCCATTTCTTTTTTATCTTTAACTACTTGTTTTCCAGTTGTCCTTTACCACATTACCAATTCAGCTATTACTTTTTTTTTTCTTTGTTTTGTTTTTCTGTTGCATGTGATCTTCACTGAAGCCCTCCGTTGATTCTGAGATTCCTAAAGAGGAGAAAGACAAGTATCAAGAGGAATTTCAGAACTTTCAGCAAGAGCTTGATAAAAAGAAGGAAGAGTTTCAGAAGGATCACCCGAATGTCCAAGGAGAGCCAAGTTAGTTTTCTAACATGTTTGAAAGTTATATTTCCAATATAAAAACAGAACATGCATAGAGTTCACTGATTTACCTTTGACTCTTTCCGGTCGTCTGTGTGCGTTTCAGTCGACGATTTGTACGAAAGTGTGAACGACCGCGAGATTCGTCAGGTGTTTGAGGGCCAGAACCGGATCCATCTGGAAATTAAGCAGATCAACCGGCAGCTCGCTATGATTCTGGATGAGCAGCGTAGATATGTTTCAGTTATCACAGACGAGATTTCCAAGAAGGGGACAAGTGCCGGGTCAGGACAGGTGAGCCTACAAGTGCCGACGTTTGGATTTACACTGAATACAAACTTAACTGACCTGGGGTTCAACGAAGTCTCACCTCTAGTGGTTTTCTGTGTTATTAACTATATGTTTGACTTACTTCGGTATGTTTAGGTTGGGAAAAAAAGCCAGCTAACGATAAACTGCTGGGTTTTCCAATTTATTCGCTTAATGATTGCTCCGTTGATTATTGAGAAGGGTCTCAATTATTTTCAACTTGCCATTTTTATTCAAGTGCAAATAAAAAGAGAGAAATTATTTTACTTGTTTTACAGTTTTCTATTCTTTTTTTTTGAGAGATGCATCTCTGATTTCCTATCAGTAGCAAACTTCTTGGTTGAATGAAAATAATTGAAAAACTAAATGTGCCAGAGGTATGAATAATTTTGGGCCATACAGTAAAACACTCTGATGTTTAGTCAACTGTTTTGTCAAACATCAACGCAAGAGTATTTATCCCTCGGAGAATTAATCTGTATTTCCCTCTCAGCTCGATTCTGCGAGTCAACAGCTCAGCTCCGTTATCGCCACGCAGCAGGAGCTTCTGAGAAACCTGAACGAACTGAGGTGAGCACCAGCATTACAGAACTTATTCTTAAAAGCTAGTTGTTGTTTTTTTTTGTTTGTTTGTTTTTTTTTTTTTTGCAACAAACATAAAGACACATCCATGATACCTGAAAAAAACAAGGGAAATCCTGCTGGATAAATCTCCTAAATCATATTTAATCTCAGGATAGCTGTAAAATCGCAGGTGCTGGCCAGTCTGATAATCCAGCTGCTGTAACATCTTCTTCCTCACCCCCGTCTATACCACCACCTTATGAGTCTCTGCTGCTCTCTCAATGCACATGGCTGCCACTCGCACTTATGTTCATGTATTTTTTTATTTTTTTATATATACATCTCATTTTATGGAGGAATTCAATAAATGTTGGTTTGTTTTTGTAATTGGCGACTTATCGGATGCAGGATGAACTCCTACCACCTTCGCCTCAGTGACTGTAGTGTACTATGGTCAAGTGGCGTCAGAAATATTAAGTTTTATGTGATCATATTGTAAGAGACATTGTAGTGTTACAATCCAAATTTGGCTAAGTTGAATTAAAGTGGCCCAAGTGTGGAGCCTTGAGGAACCCCACATATGATATTTATTTGCTCAGATGTATAATTTGCTAACCACTAATCAATGATTAGCAAGTAATATGACTAATTCAATTACAGCATTTGAAATAAAAAAAAAAAAAACAACTTGGATTAAAATAAAAAATATTTACGGCATGATAGATGTAGTGATATTTAGCTGTAATCTCCTTATTTTTTTTTTTTATTGCTTTTTAACCTGAAATGGTTTCCAATTGAAAATGAGAAGCTATACAGAATTAGATCCTACGATAATGCAGCTTAAGAGATTTCATCATTCTGCCCGTCATGGCAAAACCTCAAAAAGACGGGATGATTTCGGTACTTACAGCAAGTAAAACTGCTTGAGCGTACACATTGTCATTTTAGCTGTTAAGAGCATATGAACTGATGATGTTAGGATTTTGTTGCAGCAGATTAAAAAAAAAAAAAAAAATATATATATATATATATATATATATATATATATATATATATATAGACGTTATCAATCCCAATGTTAGATAATATGTATGGCTTTATTTTCAGCTTCACAAATTATAAAGAAATACTTTGTTTCAACTATCTTGGGTTGTATTACCTTGAATTTTTAAGCTTTTAACCACTACGCCTGAGACATTTATGGTATGTTTTTATTGCTGTTTGTTAGCATAATTTTGGCAGTGTTGACGAAAGAGGTCAAAACTTTGACTAGTCTATATTTTTAGTAAAAAGTTTCATAATAATTTTATTCCTTAAAAGTTAAATCAAACTATTTGGGCCTCTTTTGCATTTTATTTTGCTTTTTAACTTGAGTTAATAATGCAATAAATTCCAACACTGCTGGATAACACATATATAGGATAGGAAAAATAAATCTCAAAAATTACATTTTTGCATTGTCTTTTATTTTAGACGTGATATAAACTGTTTTATAAAAGCAACTTTTGGGTTAGTGTATAAAATGTATCCATACTTTTATGTGTCATGAAGATTGACATAACAATGGCATTTATAGAGAATTGTTAGACAACATTTCTTTGTGAAGAGCAAAACTCGCCAAGAGTTTTTTGTTCACCTTTATGCACCATCTGCATAAAGAATGAATCGGAAAACAAAAATATGTAAATTATTATATGAATGATAATTCGATATAATAACCTGAATAACTTGCACGCAGCTTGAATCTGATTTATTTAAGTTATAAATGTGACCTCAGATGCTTTTTACTTAAATCAATATCAAATAGATAAGACGGCGAACGTTAAATATTTTCAATATTTTCCATTTTAACCTCAGCAGAGGGTTTTGTATTATGATTCTTTAGGATAAATAAGTTCAGACACTGGCAAAAGGCTGCAGCTGCCCCCCTCTAATGTGCTAATATGAGCGGCTGATCTGTATTACTTTGTAGATTAAGTTCTCAGTTTATCCTGCTCCGTCATTTAAACACAGTTTGTATATTTAGAGATGAAGTCTGATCACAAAGAGGGCTTTCTGCTCATAAATGGGTCAGTCGTAGGAGATGAAGATTATATGCAGGGTTTAATAAATGCTCATTTACTTTCTTAAGTGTGTGTTTTTTTTGTTTTTTTTTCCCCATTTATGGTGACACAAATTAGATTTTGTTTATATGTCATCCCTGTCTCAGACCTCGGCCATGTGGCTCAGCAAGAAAAGGCCACATCTTAGCACTGTTTTGTCCTTATCAGATTAGTGGTCTTTAAATACATCTGTCATACACAAGCAAAAACATGGTTTCTCCTCAAATTGATTTTGTCGCAGCAATCCTCCCCCAGGGCCTTCCTACTTGCGCCGCTAGAAATTCTGTTGATTTGTCAGCGCACTTTTTCCTTCGTAATCGCCTTAGACGTGTTTTAAGATGATAAGGGAAACTTATTGCTTCCTCCATGTTCGTAATCAAGTTTAAGAAACGACAATTTGCCGAGAAATGTGATCCGGGCTTAGATTTTTTTTTTTTCTAAGAATGCCGTACTCTATTTAAACTCGATATACGGAGGAAATTGAATGTGAAAGTGCAGATTTACAGCCTCTTTTTCAATCAGCGAGGAATTATGGTTATGTGCATTGATAATCATTGGTAAGAATCATTTCAAGGCTGACGTTGGCAGAACTAAATGTAAAATTTGTCAGAAAACCTTTCAGTTACAGGTGTTTTCTTTTTTTTTCTTTTGTCTGTTAAAACTAATGTGGGAATTTAAGCATTTTTTAAATTTTTTTATTAACTTTGCATTAAGATAAACATTTATAAGAACCTCAGTTAAAGCAATCTTCAAATACTAAGAATTTCCTTGACCAATATTGTTTCATATATTCTTTAACAATTTAGTCTACTTTTTAAATTGAAAAAAAAAATCACTGCAGGCAAATCTGGTGAATAATAAACAATTGATAAAATATTTTTGTTTATTTTTTTTGGTTTTGGCCTTGAAAAATCCACATTTTAATTTGATGTCCAGTATCATGGCTGGCCTGTTATACATTAGAGATAATCCAGATAGTTTCTGCTCTGTTTCTTAACCCTCTTTGCTTGTAATCTGTTGTAAGAACATATTTTACGAGGGGATTAATTTGGCAATCATGACCTCTTTTATCAGATGGTAATTTTCTGTTTTTGAACTTTGAGAATATGTAAGGAGGAGTGAATGGGGATTAAAGGATTAATTTTAGACCTTTTTTTCTGAAATTAAACAAAACCACACAGCATATTCACATCTCACCAAGTCTCCTTTTCTTGGTCTTTTTCAGTCTTTTGGGAGACACTTAGATGGTTAAACCTAGCAGTTCAGCATCTCTGTAACATGTCTGTCGCTTTTTTTCCCCCTCCTCGTCTGCAGAAGCTCCTTCTATGAGTCTCTGAAGCAGATCGGTTCAGTCCAGCACCAGGGTAATGCAGGCGGAGCGGGGACGTACGAGACCATTCAACACTTCAACGACATCAAAGAGAATCTTCACACAGTGAAAAGAGACGTGGAGCACCTGGTGCAGCGTAACGTTCAGGTATTTCTCCAGGCTTTGAAATTCTGAAGCAGCTCCGGATTAAGAAACAGTCTATAAGGGTTGTGTTGCCTGTGCACATTACTGAGTTTATTTCATAATATAAATGGCTTGTAATGACAGTTTCTTAGTAAATTGATCGTTTTTTTTTACTCACAGAATCCAGGAGATAAGGTTGTAAAGTGCCCAGAGCTGCCTCCCATGCCTTCCTGCTTATCCATTGTTCATTTTGCAATATTTGTTGTCATCCAGACAGTCTTATTCTTCTGCTACATCATGTACAAGTGAGTAACTCTGGTATTGATTTGTCAAAGCATGTCTGTATGACTTTTAAAAACCTCCATTTGTTTCTGTCCTCGTTGCAGAAGCCAACAGGAAGCAGCAGCCAAGAAGTTCTTTTGATGACGTTGGTTTCTAGAACAACAGTATGCATGTGGAAATGTCTGATTTCTCTTCTTTTTTTTTTTTTTTTTTGTTCAATCATTTTCAGATAGTAAGTTATTGTATGTGGAAACTGCTTTTGTGGATTAAGACTGTTTTAATTATTAGAACATTTTTAATTTGATCAGCCAATTGCGTGTGACTGACGGTGTGCGACTTTTCAGCATGATGCAACATGGTCCTTTCAGTATTTCTGTTCAGTCAGAGCTTTAGATTTTGTTTTTTCTGAAATCTGGGGTCTGCCTTGAGCTCACTTCATACAATTTAACCAACAGTTTGAAAAAAAGAGAAAAGACAACCTATGTCTAAAAGTGTACATTGTGCGTATTTTTGTATGAAATGCTACAGATTTTCAGTGGCCCGTACATCAAGGATCAATTTCAGTTTTTCTCTTCTGGTTAACTTAAAAAAAAAAATAAAAAAAAATGTCTGAATCTGCCTGAACAATTTACATAAACTGTTAAAAACCAGCCACTGTGTCTTTTTTATTGCCTTTTTTTTTTTTAATAAAATTACAATTTGAACATGACTAATCTTCACTAAATAATTCTCTAACAAGCTCAGTCATACAAGAGAGGTCCAGAAGTTAATCTTAATACAAATCAGTTGCTTGGGCATTTATTTAGGATGTCTTCACTCAACGGATGAGCCTGATACATTTTGCTTAAGAGGTGTTTGGACATGTTAAAGTGTAGTTGCTAAATGTTTGGCTTGAGTAGCCCAGAATAACAGGATGAGGTGATTGGGTGAAAGGTTTGAGGAGCTAAGATGTTCTTACAGTGCGTCACCTACAAGTCTGTAACTTTGTCATTTGTTTCTAAAGATATCTGGAACATATAGCAGTATGTTGCTGGGGTGGTCACTTATATTATTTTTCATGATAACTTTCTTGTCATAAAGATTTAGATTGATCATTGTCACAATAAATTTCCAGTTAATGTTTAAAACCCCGCTAAGATTGACACGACAATGGCATTTACAAAGAATTGTTAGACGACATTTCTTTGTGAAGAGCAAAACCCATAAAGAGTTTTTTGTTCACCTTTGAGTAGCCCATCATGATAACCGTCAATATTAACGACCACTGTCTGTTCAATGAAAGTGTCAATAAATTTGAAAATACAGTTACAGTGCAACAAATCACACCTCTTCATACATTACAAATAAGGATTATTTGTTAGCTAAGACACAACAAATAGTTCTTATTCTCACTTATCACAATGCTACTGCAAAATACTGTGATAAAACCTTTAAGTCCATATCGAACCAGACCTACTGTGTTTCCTTAAGAGTTTTTTTTTTTTTTTTTTTTTTTTTTTTTTTTTTTTCCAAAATTTTTCAAACAAGACGCCCCCTTTTTATTTTCACTTGCGGGGAATTTTTTTTT